CTCACCAGCCTTGGGAAAAGTACTTTACAACCTGTTCTTACACGTATGACCATCACAAACCATCATACTAACCCCTACTGGTCCCGTGATTGTGATTTGCTACCTTTTTTATAACAGTCATTAAGTGAATCACTGCGGTTGTTAAGTGAATCACATGGTTGTTAAGCAAATTCAGCAAGAAAGTCCATTGGGGAAGCTGGATTCACCTAATGACTATGTGGTTCTCTTAACTGCAGTGATTCGCTTAATGACGGTCGTGAAATGGTTGTAAAATTGGGTCCAAACATGTGGTGACTTGCTTAACGACCACTGCTTAATGACCAGTTTTCCAGTCCCTATTGTGGTCGTTAAGCGAGGACTACCTGTAAGTGATATCTGAATTTGTCTATGGCTTGTTTCTGTTCTTGCTTTTGTACTGTGGTTTCATATTCCATTTGGCCATTAACTAGATTTTATACAAAGTATACCTCACTAATGTATTGTCGAAGGCTGGTGTGGGTCTTCCGGGCTGTGTGGCCATGGTCTTGAAGTCTTGTTTCCTTCCTTCCTTCTTCCCTTCCTAAACCTTGTTTAGTATACCTCACTAAATTCACAAGATAGAGGGAACTGTAATTAGCTTAGAAGTAAAAACTTCCCAATCTCCTTGCAGGCATGACAGAGGAAAGGACAATGGAGGGATAAGTATTAAGCACAAGGCTTGCTGCAGCTCATTCACATAGTGGGAAACTAGGAGTTGCTGTCACATCTGACAACTTCAGTCACAGAATGGATGAAGAAAAGAATGCAAGTGTATGAAAGATTTGTCATGAATGCTTGCATTTTGATATTGACCATTTAAAGAATGTGACTTTGTAAATCTTTAGATCAGATTTGGAAAAAACATTTAAGATAGCATTACTTTTTAGAACCCAATTCTGCATAAAGATGAAGTCATTTTTGAGTGCAACTAGGAGCGTGCTCAAGGATTATCTTTGGCTGTGATTAAGAAATATGAGCAGCTTTTCTTGCATAGAAGTTCAGCTGCATTTCAAAGGAAATGTGTTTTAGCTGTATCCAGTTGATGTTAACCAGGTATCTGCTTTTTGATTTTTTAAATTCTGTTTAAAGATTGCAACTTGCTATTCTAAACAAGATTATACCAAAGTCAAAGTTATAGTCAAAATTTATTTTTAAAAAATTATGGTCTCCCATTGAACTGCAGTATCGGAGGCTATTTACATGAAGCATCAAATTAAATTCTGGCACTTCAGAAAACAAGTTTAGAACTTGCATGGTCCTTATTCCCTTAGTACACCAAGATTGGACTCTTGCAGTCTTGATGTGCAAAGGATAGTGTGTCAATCAAGTTTGGTTCACAGCTTCAGCTAATGATTGTAGCTCTTTGGTGGATAAGATATTAAAACTTTAAATTTTATATGGGAATTATGATATCCCAGTTCTTAATGTGGCTTGTGAAGAACAGACATTACTGTGTTCATGCATATTTCCATGGCTTCACTTGGGCTTTCCGTCACCTACCAGTAAATCTGTAAGGTTTAACACATGAAAAACAGATTGGATAACTGGTTAAATGTGCTTTTTCTTTGCCTTGTTACAGGAATGTTAACTATTACAGATTTCATTAATATACTGCATAGATACTACAAGTCTCCAATGGTAGGTGCCACCTCATAATTACAGCTTTTATGGATAAAACAGAATGCCTGAAATAAAAGTATTGTTCTAATGTATTAATGGTTAGCTGTAATGGATAAATGAAAGAATGACTTTATGGATTGACACATAAAAATTGAGTTTCCCAACTTCTCTGTAAACTGTGTGTATAAAACTGAACAGAGACTTGCATATCTTATTTTTTATTATGACTGATTATTGTCAAATGAGAAGGAGAAAGTCTGTTCCCTAGATGGCAGTGGTGCTTAATCATGATTGGCCCAGAAGACTGTAAAAGCAACATAAATGTGTTTTGGGAAATATACAAACAATGGAGTAGTTTTAGTGTGGTCTATTAGATAAAGTACATATTTGACCACAGAGATTTAAATTACATGTGTTTAAATTAAATAGCTATGTGGATAATTAGTGGACTTTGAGTAAATCACTAACTCTCAGCCTGGTCTATTCATGATGAGCCAACTTAAAATTAGCTGTTTAGGATGCAGCTTAACAGTACAGCAGCATTATATCAGAATCTAATAGTCTGCTAGTTTCCATACATAGATGTCTGGAGAGAGGGGAAGGCGAATGAGTAAACAAGTATCACTATTCAAACTCCACCTTTTATATATTTGCATGCCATGTTGCAACACAAAGGGCAGAGCTTATGTTGTGATGTGGTGCACGTTTCAGTTTGGGACATCACAGTAATTAGGATATGTGCTTCCATGTAGGCTTCATATCCAGCCTGAAATTATTTATTCCTAATATTTGAATATAGCAGCTGTATTTGAACCTGCCAACAACTCAAGAATGAAATACTTTTTCCTTACACATACTGTTCAAATGCACAAGTCCTTGCTTAACAACTGTTTGTTTAGGAACTGTTCGAAATTACAATGGTGCTAAAAAAAGTGACTTACAGCCAGTGCCCAAAGTTACAACTATCACAGTGCCCCTGCGGTCACATGATCATGATCCAGGTGCTTGGCAACCAGCTCACACAAGGGTTGCAGCGTCCTGGGGTCTTGTGATCACCATTTTCGACCTTCCCAGCTGGCTTCCAGCAAGCAAAATCAATGGGCAACTGCATGATTCACTTAATGACCACATGATTCATTTAACAATCATGTGATTTGCTTAACTACCGTTGCAAAAAAGGTCGTAAAATTGGGTCTGGTCACGTGATGATTTGCTTAATGACCGCATTGCTTAGCAACCTAAATTCCGGTTCCAGTTGTGGTCATTAAGCAAGGACTACCTGTACTTGTTGATCTGGTTCTCTGTTCAGTCATGTATCTGGTATATTGTTAGAACCACATACATTTACATTAATATGAGTTATTTTTTTGCTGCCTCTGTAAAAAAAAAAATAATAATAATTTCCTGTATTGATTATTTCAGTAAGTTAGAAGGTTATGTTGAGAGGAAACTACTAAATATTTGATTTCTTTTTCCTGGCATTAGTATTTCTGTCTTCCTGAGATTCTTTTCTGTTTTACTGAATTTGAGACAATGAAAATAGTCAAGATACTTTTTTTTTTTACTTGGAAGTTTACACTATAATTTTAAAGGTGGACATAGGTAAAGTGGTACACAGAGTCAAGTGAAGCAAATGTGCTATTTAACCTGTCTGAAAGAAGTAATCTTTTTTCTTATATACAAATTAATTATGCCTGCTAATCTGTAATCCAGATACCCCTTGCTATTGGTGTTTATGATGTCAAAGATGTAGAAGAAAGGAGAACTAACTTTAAAAAGATGCTGGCATTTGGAAATCTAAACGTTACAGTCCGGTTAGTTAAGAAACAGATCGTCCTCCCACAGTCATTCTGTTCATCCTGTGTTCAGATCCCAATTGTACAGTTATTGCATTTGCTTATCCTCCTTACTTCCTAGCAGTAGCATCTGCACTTATTTTGTCTCTCATGCTGCAATACATTCAACTACAATTGCCCACTGTCATAAGTAAGAAATAATCAATATACACATCAAGTAATGAAAAGTGAACCAAGCTGTAGACCAGGGTTTCTCAACCTTGGCAACATGAAGATGTGGGGACGTCACCTCCCAGAATTCCCCAGACAGCAAGTCGTCAAGGTTGAGAACCACTGCTGTAGATTATTGATCAGCCAGAACTGCCGATCAGCTAATGGGTTCAATGGATGAAGAATTTTCCTTCATGCATATTCACAAAAGATTGACCCCAGTGGAATTTCCTATTAAACACACAATCATGGCATGATCCTGACTTGGTTGCTTCTGTAATACTGTGTTTGCAGCAGTCAATGGTATATTACTGCACTTCTCATTTTGGTCATCTGCATTGACCAAGCCAGGTGGGTGGGCTAGTTTTGGTGGCCTTGTCATAGATCCCTCGTGCAAGTAATGATTAGTAACTTCAGCCAGTCAGTGCAGTGCTCCATCTTCTTATGGATTCAGTATTGCTGCAGTTGTTTTCATTAAGCTGGAATGAGCTGGCTTCTCTCACCACAATGAACAAGGCAATTTTTTATCAAAGTCAGGCCCATTCCTCTCCCTGCTGAACATACTTGAGGGCATAACACCCATAAATAGAGCTTTAAATATGAGTAGAAAAATCTGAGGGGTCAACAAAACAGACCTCTTCCTTGTCTGCAGCTGCATGTCCAGATGCCCCAGAGCTGGCCTAGTTGATCAAAATCAAGGTGGTTGCCAACTCTAGCAAGGAGTTCCTTCCAGCAAGGAGAAGGTGGAATTGTGGAGAAACTAACAGGTATTGTGGTCTCAAAAAGTTGAAAAACCTGTGTTTTAAGCTGCCACTTAGGTGAAGTATCCCTTGGCCTGCTTTGGTCTTTCTCTTTTTTTCACTGTTTCTGTGTTGCAAAATATATGCACACCATTATGGGCAGAACAGTTCTGGTTAGCTATGTAACAAATCCTGCAGGCAAAAATACTCTAATGTCAGCCCCTATCAACAAAAGTCGACCACTTCATGAAAACAAAGCCAACTACAGCTGTTAAATGATCATTGTTGCCCTCACAGTAACTCAGGGCCTTCTCAGGGGTGGCCTCTGCCCTTTGGAACACCCTTCCCCTTGAGATCTAGCAGGCCCCTAACCTCACGGCCTTCCGAAAAGCAGTAAAGGCCTGCCTTTTCCCATGAGCCTTGGGGTGATGTGAGGCTGGAACCCAGGGAAACTATAGTTTTATATTTATATTTTTATAAATACAGCACAGCATGTGTGCTGTGTTTGGGGCATCGGGAATGTTCTGTTTTGTTGGTTTTTATGCTTTTTATGCTGTTTTCATTCTTTTCTTACTGTTGTGAGCCGCCCAGGGTTATGTTACGCAAGATGGGCGGGTATACAGATCTTTTAAATAAGTACATTTAGTCTGACAGGAAATTCTGTCCTGTCACCAAGATAAAACTCCCACTTTCCAGCTCCAAAATAGATTCCTTTATTGAGTTACTGTGTTTGTGTTACAGGCTGAGCCCACCAAGGGTCAGCCTAGTTTGTCATGCAACCCAGACCTTATAACTAAATGGACCATTTCATACCAATAAATTAATTGAGAAAACTGTGATAAAGAAGGCCTGTTGGCCAGATCATTAGTGAAGCCCAATATGCCTGTTGGCGTGTGGGTTGCCTTGGTTATAATATGATGATTATTTTTCGTTGTATTGGTTTTTATTAATATGTTTTTGATATATCATTTGTTAGCCACCCAGAATTATTTGGTTAAGACAGGCAGTGGTATAACTTCTCCAGAATAAATGAATAAATATCACGTGAGGACAGAATATAGGATCATTTGCATCTAGTAGATGTGGGGCTCCTGTGGCTTTCCAGGTATTTCTGAACTGTTCCTAGCATTCCTCACTGTTGGAGATACCTGGAGCTGCTGGGAATTGTTTAGCAGCAACTGAAGATCACAGATTCCCTACTCCATTGTAAAGAATGGATGCCAGTAGCTGTCTTTCATGTCATTAACAGAATCAAGCAGTTTGACATTAAATTTTACCACTATTTTAAAAGGAAGAGCTGCCCTGAGGGCAATTAATTTTATTTGAATGGTGTTCTTCACTAAAATGTTATTTTGTAAAGTACCTGTTAACACTGTTAACAAATAAAACATCTGTGCTTCTCCTGCAACTATTCATTTAAAATCATTTTTATTTGTGGACAAATTACAGTCAAGAATTTAATGCACAGAGAAAGAAATTTTTGCTTGGAGGACCTACTTTCCCTGTACGCTACATGCTATACATGTATACTTTCTGCTTTTTTTAATGTTCTGATTTCCTTCCATTTGAGTTGGGTAAACTGTGATGAATTATGCAACATAAGCTTCTGTTCAGTGTGACAGTGATGTGTTTTACACTGGCTTGCATGATGTGGTAAGAGATTATATGTACGACATACATATTAAAATGTAGGCTAGTTCTGTGGTCTTCATGTTTGAAAGAGAAATCAGAGCTTTCAATGATTAGATTGGTAATTTTGTAATTCTAACTCCCAAGAAGCCATGAACTCTCACTTAATATTCACTTGTTAGAACAAAGAAGGGAAAGGATTAAAAACTGGAAAAGAAAGCAGAGGAGGAAGAAATGCTGTTTAGTGACTATCACTGTTCAGACACTGTTCTGTTCTGTTTGGTGCCATTGATGCCAGAAACTAAAATTTCTTTTTCTGAATATTATATAATCAAGCATTTGAGAGAAATTAGTATTCTCACCAAATTTTGTTTTTCTTCAATGCAACATACTTGCATTGTTGAAAGAAATAATTGAGGACTGAATATAGTTCTTAATTCTAACAATTGGAATCCAGATCCCTAGTGTGTAAGAGAGCTGTATATAAGCTGAACATTTGGTCTCATTCCTAATTTTGGCAAGCTCTTTGGGTGAATTTTAAATGTGTCTACTGTCTACCTCTTGCTTAGAGGCAATTTGGTGTCGTGATTAAAGGCACTGGGCTAGAAACTGGGAGACTATGAGTTCTAGCCTTAGGGCCTTAGGCAGAAAGCCAGCTGGGTGACCTTGGGCCAGCCACTCTCTTTTAGCCCTAGGAAGGAAGCAATGGCAAACCACTTCTGAAATTTTGCCAAGAAAACTACAGGGACTTGTCCAGGCAGTCACCAGAAGTCAGGAATTATTTGAGGGCACATGCACATACACACACCACACAAAACCCCCTCTTATTTATTTATTTATTTATTTGTTTGTTTGTTTGTTTAGTTCGAAGAAAAATGTCCTTTATTTTAATGACTTCTAAAAACATAAGTGTTTGGCTTTTTGTTTTGTCTTCCTTTTTACAGGTACAAATCTATGAATTGGAGGAGCACAAAATTGAAACATGGAGGGGTAAGCACATGTTATAAACCATTCAGAATGAATGTGATCTTCCAAACTTGCTGTGCAGCTTTCTTGTTTACTAGATCTTTTATGGTCCCCAAATCTAAGAATGATAATATATCTGCTGCACTAACACTAGTATGACTTGATGCTTGTCCCAGTAAGTGGGAGTGTTATTTCTCATTGTTCCTCTATTGCTTCTCATACATATTCTTTCTGATATAATTGGTGCAGTGATTTCCTCCAGTGGAAGAACTCAGTTCGGTTTTAGACAGTGAATATGAGTAGTCAGCTGTATTTTGATCTTGTCTTAGTTAATGATAATATTGGAATGTTTACTTTTTTCAGTTAAGGAAAAAAACAATGAAAAATCTAACTGGTATATCTACAGTTTTCTGAAAATTTAAGCAGATGTATTTTGGAGAAAGCAGAACGCTTCTCCTATCACAGGAAAATGCCATTTTAAATCATTGGTTGTAGTTAACAAAACTGTTGTTAACACTAACATTCTAGAAGAGTAAGCAGTTTCAGATTACATAAAATAAAGTTGTTCTTTATCTTTCCCACTATCCCCATTTTGTCCACTCTTGCCCTTACATATCAAGTCATATCTTGAGAAACTATTAATAAATGAGAATATTGAAGTCAGTCAAAATATATTGTATTGAAGATGGGTCCTCTAGGCATGCTATGTGTCAGAAAAAACCTGATAGCCCATTTATTTTACTGATCTTTTTTTAAAAAATACATTGGCCTTCTGAAGTGTGAAGACTTGGGTAATTCCAAACTTTCTTTAAAATACTGTGCACAGCTTCTTTTATAATAATTGTGGTGTTCATACTCAAGGCTATAGTGACCTCTAGTGGGTATTTGATTCTGAAAGCCAGTTTCCCAATCTTCTCTGTTTTTTGTAACTGTTTGATTATTTTTGTATTAAAATGCCAGTAGGTGCCCATTTCTTTACAACAGAAATGTTCATTTTTATGAATTATTTATTAGATATTGCAAGTTTATAAAAGTATTGTTTTTAATTATACAGAGCTTTATTTGCAAGAAACTTTTAAACCCTTAGTGAATATTTCACCAGATGCAAGGTATGTAACAGTTTCCTAATCTTTTTTATTTGTAAATTCTGTTAATGTATTTATCACACGGTTTCAAAGAACTACTTAAGATTAATTCTATATCTGTCAGAAGTTAGGGTTTCTGATGGCAGTCATTTATCTGATACACACATAATACTTTTTGTACTGATAACTTTGAGCCTTGCTAACATTCTTCCTTCTCTGTATCTGCTCACAACACCCACTATAATGATTCCTCTCTTAGAGCATTCTTGTTTGTTTTGATATAATGTTGGTATTCAGGTATACAGGTAGTCCTCACTTGACCACAATAGGGACCAGAAAATTGGTCGTTAAGCAGGGTGGTTACTCAATTTTACTACCATTTTTACAATGGTCGTTAAGCAAATCACCACAGTTAAGCGAATCACATGTTCATTAAACGAATCCAGCTTCTCCAATGGATGTTTTTTGCCAGAATTCACTTAACCATTGATTTGCTTGAGGACCGTCATAAAAAAGGTCACAGTCACATGACTGTGGGGGTGGTGTAATGATTTGCAACAGTCGTAAATGCAAGTATAGGTTGTAAAGCACTTTTTCCAAGGCCATTGTAACTTTGAACTGTCGTTAAATGAACAGTCGTTAAGCGAGGACTACCTGTATGTAATTGAGAATTGAAATTGGATATCCTTCAGTTTTCGCAGTTTCTTTGAATGTTGTTTATTAAGAATCATTTATACTTTTGGTTTTGAGTAACTCTTGTAGTGGGGAGGAATGCCTTTGTGGAATAAGTCAGTAGAATGTACTAATAATTGCAATAACTTTCTCTTTAGCCTTTTTGATGCTGTATATTCACTGATCAAAAACAAAATCCACAGATTACCAGTTATTGACCCTGTGAGTGGAAATGCACTTTATATACTTACCCATAAAAGAATACTCAAGTTTCTCCAGCTTTTTGTAAGTAGAATGATAATTTTATTCTGTTCTAATTACATAGTGAATCAATTGTATGAATGTTAAATATATCTTGAGTATGTGTCAGTACGCTCTTTACATGTATCTTCTAGTTACTGAAATGCAGACACCAGTATGTTGGCTAGCCAGATTGTCTCTAAATTACAAATTCTAGCTTGTATAAAAAAGCACAAGCATGCTTGGGATAAAATCAAGTTTGGTTGCATTAGCATGGATAGCTGCATGTGACACAGGTATGAGTAAGACAGGAAACCCAGTCTGTGTCTTCTCTATTTTAATTAAAATATATGAAAGCCTCAAGCATCCAAAGTCATGATGGGTGATGGAGGTCAGTATCTACGCCCATCTGTTGACAAGCATGGCATGTGGAAGATTGGGACGTGGAATGCAAGAGGAATAAATGGCAAAAAACGTGAATTAACAGGTGAAATGAAATAAAGAAAAATAAAATTCAAACCAATTGGCAGGCTGAAGTGGACAGGGTCCTCAGAGCTGTGAGCTTGCCCATCTGTGTTTTAGATCCCTGCCCCTCCTGGTTCATTAAGGTATCCTGGGAGGTGGCAGGTAGTTGGGTTCATGGGGTAATGAATACTTTTCTGCAGGAGGGGGTGGTTCCATCCGCCTTGGCTGTGGCCATTCCCTCCTTAAGAGACCATCACTGAACCCAATGGATCTGAGCAATTTTCATCAAGTATCCAACCTTCCAACTTATTTTTTAGGGAAGATCGTTGAGAAGGCTTACAGTTCCAGATGACCTGGACCCTTTTCAGTCAGGATTCAGGACTGGTTATAGTACTGGTACAGCATTGACACATACAGGCACAATTTACACTGAGATTTTCAAAGCTGTGAAAATATTATCTAACATATTCCACATAAGAACTATGGTAAAAGTGCAGCATTCCATTGATAGAAGTGTTGTGAGCATGAAACATAAGGACCTGCGAACTGAATCTCACTGTTTAAACAAATAGATGTCACATTTAGATTTGAGTTTGTACAGTAATTTTAGGCTTATTAGATTCAGGAATTGGTGAAGATTTATTAACTGGGAAGAGCTGAAGAAATAAATTCCTTGGGCATTTTTTAAAAATATTGGATTATGTACCTTTACAGATGGAAAATGCCTTTCAAACAATTGTTTTTAAATTTGTCTTTTACTTCTTCAAGGTGTCAGAAATGTCAGGAATTGGTGAAGATTTATTAACTGGGAAGAGCTGAAGAAATAAATTCCTTGGGCATTTTTTAAAAATATTGGATTATGTACCTTTACAGATGGAAAATGCCTTTCAAACAATTGTTTTTAAATTTGTCTTTTACTTCTTCAAGGTGTCAGAAATGCCAAAGCCCGCCTTCATGAAGAAAAATCTGGATGAACTTGGAATAGGAACCTATCATAATATTGCCTTTATACATCCAGACACTCCTATCATTAAAGCCTTGAATATATTTGTAGATAGAAGGATATCAGCACTACCTGTTGTGGATGAGTCAGGTGGGTATTAAGAATTACAAAGTTTGTTATTGCCTGTTGTGAGTACTAAAGATTGGAAATGTTTTTAAATTTTAAGAAGACAGCCACAGAATGCAAATGGGCGGGATTGAGATCTGAAGTACCCTTGCCCAGATCAAATACTTGTGCATACCTTACTAGAAAAATAAATAAGGGAGAAGTACACCTCTTTGAAGATTTCATCATTTATTTAGATCATCCCTCATTTCCATTTTGCTTGAATTAATTACACCTCCAGCAGGTTGCAATCTGGCAAAAGTGCTTTTTTCTATTTTAGTTTTCTTTTGTTTTCCTCATCACTGAAGACTAAACTACACTTTCAGTGGTCTTTTTTTCACAGTGTAATCCTCATTAACTCTCTGGTATCTATCTGTTTTCAGTCGTATGTTTCAATTCAATAAATTACAGGTAGTCCTCACTTAACGACCACAATAGAGACCAGAAAACTGGTCACTAAGTGAGGTGGTCATTGAGTAACCACATGACTGGACCAGATTTTACGACCATTTTTATGACAATTGTTAAGCAAATTCAGCTTCCCCAATGGATGTTTTTTGCCAGAATTTGCTTAACGACCATATGATTTGCTTAATGACCATCATAAAAAAGGTCGCAAATCGCAATCATATGACTGCAGGGTATGGTGCAATGGTTTGCGATGGTTGTAAGTGCGAGTACAGGTCGTAAAGCATTTTTTCCAAGGCCATTGTAACTTCGAACCATTGTTAAATGAATGGTCGTTAAATGAGGACTACCTCTGTTCCTTCTTTGTCTCATTGTCCTCCATTCAGCCATTTGATTGTTTTATTCCTTCATATTTATCCCTTTTAACGCTGTGATATATAGAAGGGCAAGGACTGTTAGCACACGTTTGTGTTTCTTGAAGAAAAAAGGCAATTATTTTAATTACTTTTTGTACTGTGCTTATTTAATCTGAACACTCACACTATGTCCCCTAAAAGTCTTGCTATTCTTCAGCCCTGTTGTTGATGATTAAAAAATAAACCATCATTCTATATGTACCATGCCTTCCAAAATAGTCAGTATCCCTAGACCTGTATTCGTACTGACCAGCAGTATGCCCAGGTTGTTTGGATTGAATCACAGCATGTTAAGCCATAGATATTTCATCACTGCACTCAGACAATGGTTCAGGACATCCACAGCATCTTTCGGATCAGTTAAGAGAAAGATATGGGTGCGGGTGTTTGTTAGCACAGTGATGAGATTCAGTCTCAACATTCTGGATAACTTTTCCTACAGCTTCATATGGATGGTAAAAATAGGGAAGAAATACTATCCTGAGAAGCCCTAGAAATAATAGCTGTGGGAACAAGCATAGTTCTCCAGCATCACCTTGGAGTTACTTGGCAGAAAATCTGGCTAATCACCCCAGAAGGATGTCATTATCAGTGTGTGTAACGCTGCCCCAAAGTCCAGCAAAACAGCAGAGACTCGTTCCAAGGATAGGTCATTCGCCAAGGTTGTTTATGTTCCAAAACAGCATCTAAATCCATATTACAAAGGATATAGGCTGCAGTGTTCAGAAAAGCATTGTCCTCCTTCTCAAAGTGAATTTGCAATTCAGTTGTTTGACAGAGTTTAGTTTTTTCCTTAGTTGTTTATTTTTGTCAGCTCGTAGAGCAATAGAAACAACTGTTCTCTTTCCAAAACCTGGAATTAACACTGATACTTGCTTTAATAAATATTATCAGCCACAAGCATGGTTATATTATGCTACCTAAAACGACGTATGTCTGCATTTGGTTTGTCAGTTATTTACTATCACATTATAAGGATTCTTTATCTTCCCTTTTTAGGAAAAGTTGTAGATATTTATTCCAAATTTGATGTTATAGTAAGTATTTTCTTTTTATAATACTATTTTGGCTTAGTCTTTCACTGTGACCACTCTGTAATATGCCCTGGTTCATAGGGTTAGGGTTACTCACTTAATATGATGCTAAATAATGTTCTGAAAGCTTCTCGTGGGAATAAAATTCTTGGTTGAGAAGAGAACTACTGCAGGACAGTAGTGCACAGTGTCCCATGCTTCAGCTGAAACACAATGCTAGTCAGAGATACGCGATGAGAAACATTCTGTTAGCTTCTTCCTCTTTTCTCCCTTTTTCTTTTTGTGGTCACTGCCCCCTTTGAATTCAAGCTATGGGGAACTCATATCCATAGTTTGCTACCATGGTTACAGGGAGGGCTTGCTAATTGTCATTAATGAGAGTGCTGGGGCAAAGCGAAAAGAAAGGGAAATGCTTATTTGAGAGGGACGAGCAAACAACCGTGTTCTCCCCACCCTCTCCCCAAGGTTTTCAACTTTAGGAAGTTACAGTTAAAGATTAGGCACCACTAATCTGCAGTCTCCATTATTTTTAACAAAAGCATTTTTTCTTATACCCAATTAAGCCAAAATACATGTGGTAGTATCACTGGTGCACTTACGCATTTATCTGCTTTGCTTTTTTTTTTTTTTTCCCTGTTAGTTAAATCACATCATGTGAATTACACTTCTGGAGTAAAACAATAAGATTTGTTGGCTCTACATAAAAAGTAGAACTGAATTGTGTGTAACTGCCTTTTTTTCTAGAATCTTGCTGCTGAAAAAACTTATAATAACTTAGATATCACAGTGACACAAGCTCTCCAACATCGCTCTCAGTATTTTGAAGGTGTTGTGAAATGCAGTAAGCTGGAAACGCTGGAGACAATTGTGGATCGGATAGTTAAAGCTGAGGTGAGAAATGGGGGGAGCACAGGACTTTTCTGAATAGCGCTCCTTATCAGATTTCCAGATGAGATTGTGCCAGGGAGGACTCAGATGGTGACAGCATAAGAGTACCAGGATATAATACAAGATGCATTAAAACTTACTCCAGCCATTTCTTTAAAAAATTGCAATAATTTTACTATATGGTCTTTTTACACTGATTTATAAGGACTGTTAAATTTCCTAATTAAATATACCGCTTTCATTGAGATTTCAAAGTAATCATCCAATTTACCTTCTGTTGTCAACATATTTAATAAATCCTCCTGCATGCCAGAAAATTTTCATTGCCCATCCAGAATTAATCAAGGAGGAGACAGCTAGTTTAGCTTGTCCTTTTTTAACTAAATAATACATCATTCCTCAAATTGGAACATCATAAGGAACTATGGTTAACTTTTGGTTGGTAAAGAGTAATAGTTGGAAAACATGCTAATAGGAGAAAACAATGGCAGTTTTTCTATTTTTCCTCCTTTGATTTCTTATTTTACTTTCTTTCAGAGATGGGGTGAAAGGAGGCTTGATATAGATCACAGAGCAGTGTTGATCCTGGTTCATTTAGTGCTGGGAAAAAGCCACAGTTGGTAGTATTGGTGAAGCCTAATACAATGAGAATATATAATAGTGCTTCTTTAAATAAAAAAGAATTGATGTAATGACATATTATTGCAAGCTGCAATAGTTAGATAGTCTTGCGATCTAAATATCTAAATACAGATATTTGAGAAAAAGTTTGTTGCTGCAAATGGATTAAACCATTAAAAGATTTTTTAAGAATTGCTAGAAACAGATTTGAAGCTCTATTGAAGATTATGTGAGGACAGCACATGATACATTCTGTTAACTCACCTGTATGTGATAATTAAAGTAGCTTAAGTGAATTAAAAAAACTGTTCAATGTCCTCTCACTTTTTTAATAAACAGCAATCCATTCTAAATAAGGAATAATTGAGATGTACCCTCAAAACACTGCATATTTTTTGCATTCTGCAGGGTAAAGCTGTTCTTTGCTTTGATTGCAAGTTTGATTCACTTGCAGACAACAGGGCCAGACTAGAAATGTTCTCCTCATTTCGTTCTCAGCAAACGAGATTCCATGGAACATGTAAGCCTGTCTCATAAAGTTGTATTGCTCTCTCTAAGCGGCCTTTGGTTGGATTTTGAGAATGTATGGATAATCTTCCCATACAGCCATTCATTGCTTACCTAAGCTCATGCTTTCTTTTTCCAATTCTCTTCCTCCAACCGCCATCACTTCAAAACATAATTAGAAAAAGTAAAACCCAAAATGTTCTGAATTACTTTCCATAGGGCTAAAATCAATAATAGCCTTAAAATATTCTGCTTTGGGGCCAAATGAAGACAAGAACAAACTACAAAGAAGTCAAAGTTGAGCAAAAGGAGGAGGGAGCACTATATGCTTTCTTGAGCTCCTGTACAGCAGAAAAAGACAAATCTAACAAATAAATTAAATAAATACAGTCTCTGTGCTATTCAGTAGCCTTTTGGGTAAGAAAGTTACCAAACTTAGAAAGAGAGAGATCCATTGATTAAATCTGTGCAGTAGTCATTGACATATTGAACCCATTCATCATACTATTCCTACGTAAAATATCACCAATATAAGATAAACATCTGTAAAAATAGAATTTCCCCCCTTTTCTGTTTCTTTCCTGTGTTCCCCATTTGTATCAGGTGGGTATGACTGTTCAAATACAAGAGAAGAGGAGCGTTAAATTGCCTGGCCGGTAGGTAGTTCACCTCTGTCCTCCATTGTTGAAATACCTTGACTTAATTTTGCTGTGCCTATCTTTTTGACAGAGTCCCCATCCTCTTTCATAAGTTCCTTTTAATCCATCACAATGTTTCCCAAAATGGATACAAAATAAAAAGATGGTAGAGAGAAGAGTAGCTTAGCAGGGGTGGGGAATCTTCCAGCTGTTGTGGAATTATAACTTTGGCAACCCTGGCTAATATGGCCAGTGCTGGGAGCTGTAGTTCAGCCTGTCTAGAAGGCCACCAATTCCCCATTCCTGCCGTAAAATTGATATTTTACGGCAGGAATGGGGAATTTGTGACCCTCAAGATTCCTTCTAACATTCCTTAAGATGGGAATGTTAGGTAGGATAGTTAGCAGTGTCAGGGCCTTTTTTTCCCCCAGAAGATGTTATTTCTTGAAATGCCCTGTGGAAACAATAATCTGTTTGCCTTCTTAATCAACTGGACATCCTTCCCTTGAGCATCTGACCAGTTCCAGTTAATAGTGTTGCTGTCTAATGTTGAAAAGGAACTGAAGTTTTGAGACTTTTTAATTTAGTCTCATATATAACTCATTTGTAATAATTTAAACTGAAAGTTACTACAGCTTTATCAATGGTATAAAATTTTGATCCAGATGAGGTCTATAATACCTTCACTTGGATTAAATGATAAATGAGGAGAGGTGATATATATCACCTGCCTATTGGTTTCATATAGATGTTAAATACAGGTAGTCCTCATTTAGTGACCACAGTTGGGACTGGCAATGATCATTAAGCGAAGCAGTCACTAAGTGAAACCACGACTGTGCTTATGATCTTCCTTCAGCTTTCCTTTGCTTTACAGACCTGCCAAAGTCATAAATGCAAGGATTGGTTGTAAAGTTACTTTTTTGTTACTGTTGTAACAGTGAATGGTCATTAAACGATGCAGCTGCTAAACAAGGACTACCCGTAATAAGAACAATATAATAGAACCTTGTGAAATTTCATATAACAGCCAATACAGGTAGTCCTCGCTTAACTACTGTTCATTTAGCAGCCATTCAACGTTACGACGGCGCTAAAAAGTGACTTACAACCGGTGCCCAAAGTTAGGATCATTGCAACATCCCTGCAGTCACGTGATTGTGATCTGGGCACCTGGCAACCAGCTTACACAACAGTTGCCGTGTCCTAGGGTCACATGATTGCCATTTGTGACCTTCCCAGCCAGCGTCCAGCAAGCAAAATCAATGGGGAACCATGTGATTCATTTAACGACTGTGTGATTCACTTAATGACTGCCACAAGTCGTAAAATCAGGCCTGGTCACGTGATGATTTGCTTAACAAACATCACTTAGCGACCTAAATGCCAGTCCCAATTGTAGTCATTATGCGAGGACTACCTGTACTGTTCTATCCTAATACTTGAAGCTACTGAACAACCCAGGAGATTCAATAGAATCACAAACTACAGCTTGTTATATGTGAATTCAATGTCTGAACCAGAAAAATGAGGAATGGCTTACAGGGAGCCCCGGGGTTAAGAATGCCCAGTTTACAGATGACCTATAGTTAAGAACGGAGCCTATTATAGCAAAATTCAAGTTAAGTACACAATGATTTGAGTTAAATATGCAATGGTTTGAATTCATTACACAATACTACTGTTCCTGCTTACATACAAGTTCGACTTAAGGACAGACCTTGGGAATGGAACTCATTCTTAAACGGGACTACCTGTACAAAAAAGCCAGCATATGATATTTGAGTTTAAAGTGATTTTTATATCTTGATTAATAGAAGAGAATATCTGTAGCTCAAGGTTGAAGTGTAAAGTTTTTGGTGCCAAGCTCCAAGAGCACCAAGAACGCCACGTAACTTTATTAATCAGAGTTCCCGGATTCAGACATATCTCCTGTATTCAAAGATGCTACTAACCGTGCATAATTAGGGTTTCTAATTATCGTTTGTTGAAAATGCTAGAATGGCTGTTTTGCTCATAACATCAAACTGTCATGGCTATGTTCACGCTAAGCCAAAAACCAACCAACCAAATAATGGCTTAGCACGAAATGTGAGCTCACCCAGTGGGAAGCTGTGGTTAACGTGGCCTGGTTAACATGGTGTTCTCCTGAATTATTTCCCTCCTTGCACAAAGAACGGAGGAAGACAGAGCATGCAGATGTCGGAGGCTTATTCATATCTTGGTATGCCCAAATCTCAACCTGAGCAGCAAGGCTGGAGACTTGGCTTCCCTAAGCAGCTAATTCCTCACCCTGTGCCGTTTTCTGGCGTAGGCCGCACAGCCTCCCAACACGGCAGATAAGCCGGAGACTTGTTGGCTGGCTTGGGCTCGCTCATCTTGCCCTCCTAGGCCCCTCCTGAGGTATTGCCTACATTTGTGTTCATAAAACATGGGAATGTGTACACACACAACCACAATTCGGTCCGTTTATCAGTTTATACATAGGCTAGTTGTTGCTGTCATACATAGTAAACATCTTTCAAATCTCATGAGCTTCGAAAGCAATACCCAAGTTATACAGAAGGTTAGCCACTCAAAATTCTTGCTGGGCAAACACTATCAAGTATATCTAAAATATTTCCTGGAGCATAAATTATAAAAATACACAATGAGGATGAAGCTTTTATTAGGTTATTCTAATTTTAAATACAGTTTATGTTTGAAACCGATAACATTACACTTCACTTTTATCATAAAAGTAGAGTTGTTGGCTTTAGCCTGTTCCTTGTTAGATTACGTTTCAGTGTTTGGGTTACAATCAGTCTCTATTTTTATCAAGAATTTTCTACTTAAACTTATTTATAACCAGTAGCAATGTCTGCTGAACGTTCTTACATCCTGTTCTGATAGAACAATGGAGACATATCTACCTACAAAGAGATCTTTGATGTTAAATAACAACTTTATCAGTTTTTCAACAATTACTCTTTTGTAGCTGTGTGAAATGAACCTGTTCCAGTCCTAGAACATCTAAGCCTTCAGTTATGCCCGAGTCCGCAGAAAGGACGTATATGCTAATATACAACGCTGATGGTTAAGAACAGGACTTGGAACGTGTTGCGGTGGCATATTGTCATGAAGCTAACTGTAATTTGATCCAAACGTCAGATGGCAGTTTGGGAAACAGATGTCGTTGCTAATGTTTGCTCTTTGTAGATGACAGAAATCACTTCAACATGAATGGCTCTCTAAAGGAGAACAACTCCACCTTTTAGAAAGTGCTTAAAATGTTACATCAATTTAATTTGGGAGCTAAGCATCCCTCCAAATAAGATGATCCGGTTGTCTCTTAACCTAAATGTTCTTACTTTTAGTTTTATTTTGCTTGTGAGGACAGTTGGGCAGCCATTACTGTATGTGCATTTGTGTTTGCAGGTTCATCGGTTGGTGGTTGTGAATGAAGCCGATACTATTGTTGGTATCATCTCCCTCTCTGACATCCTCCAAGCGTTAGTGCTTACGCCAGCAGGTATGAGTTCTACACTGAACTAGTAAGCCTTTTCTCTAGCAACGTGCCAACGATTTTACAATGGTTTTATCTTTTCAACAACTCCTAAGACAGAGGCACTGTCAAAGGACTTCCCACTGAACTTGAAGACAATGAATAAGGATGTCTTTACACATGCACCTCTCAGATGCAGTAATAGTTCATTTTAAACCAGCATATTCTTTAGATATAACCGCATAATTTTTTAAAAAATTCTTAAGACTTGAAGGTCCAGATACAGTTTTGAGAATAGGAATCTCATTTCCAATTTCTAATTGGCTAAGCAGATTGCTCTGAGCTTAGAATCCAGTGACCCCACACAATAATATCATGGGTGAGAATGTGCTTGCACATTCAGTTTGTACCCTGAGCTTTCTCAAACATTACAAGTGAACAAGGAAGTTATTACTACTGTGAGTACATTTTGTATTTATAGAGTTCTGGTGCAGTCTCTCATCCAATAGAAAAGTTTAAAATAAATATAAGGCATGTAGTATTGTTAGTTGCACTAGAGGTTAGTTAAAAAGATATTTTTTTTGACAGAACATATAAGGGATTTTGAAGTAAATTGTGAAGTTGGAAATGGATGTTGTAATCCATTCTGGGCATATGCAGAGGCTTGGTATACATATGGGCCTTTATATCAAAGGAGCAAAAGTGTAAGTAGCACTGGGGTGGGCTATACTTTGCTGGGGCCAATCCACCTATGTGCAGAGACCCTTGGTCCTGTGATGTTAATACAGCATTATCTTGGAATGGGCTCAGATTTTGATAGGCTTATCTGTATTTCTGATATGGAATAGTATTAGGCACTAAAATAACTAATTTCATGAAGGACGGTGGGAATAGAAAAGAGGGGTATTAATCCTAACAGATACTTTGCAAAATGATTCTGAATGCCTATGCAAATTACAGGTAGTTCTCAACTTACAGTCACAATTGGGACTGGAACTTCGGTTGTGAAGTGATGCTATCGTTAAGTGAGTTTTACGACCTTTTTTGCTGCAGTCGTTAAGTGAATCTGGCATCCCCCACTGACTTTGTTGGAAGCCCCCTGAGAAGGTCGCAAATGGCAATCACGTGACCCTGGGATGCTGCAACCGTCATAAATACATGCTGGTTGCCAAGCACTGAAATTTTGATCACATGACACCACTACAGTTGTAGGTGCAAGGACTGATCGTAATTCACCTTTTTCAGCACCGTTGTAACTTCGAACAGTTGTTAAAAGAATGGTCATAAGTTGAGGACTATATATATATATACAGGTAGTCATCACTTAATGACAGTTCGAAATTACGACGGTCTTGGGAATAGTGCTTTACTTGCACTTACGACAATCACAAACTGTCACACCATTCCCGCAGTCATGTAAACACGATTTGTGACCTTTTTTACGGCAGTCATTAAGCTAATCACTATGGTTGTTAAGTGAATCACATTGTTAAGCTAATCACGTGGTCGTTAAGCAAATTCCAGCAAAAAGCATCCATTAGGGAAGCTGGATTCACTTAACGACATGATTCACTTAACAACCCATCATAAAAATGGTCGTAAAATTGGGTCTGGTCACATGGTGACTCACTTAATGACCACCCCACTTAACCAATTTCCCCATCCTTATTGTGGTCATTAAGCGAGGACTATCTGTATTTTAAAAAATCCCCTCCCACCCTTATGGGTGGTATGTGTCTTCCTCAATCTTGAGTCCTCAACCAGAGGTGTGGGAGTTTGAGGGTTCTGCGCAGTATCTTGGCTGTTCCTAGCACTGCACTCTTCTGGACAGAAAGTTCTGATGTTGTTCCTGGGATCTGTTGGAGCCACTCTCTTAGCTTAGGAGTCACAGCACTGAACACTCCTACCACCACTGGGGCCACTTTGGTCTTTACTTTCCACATCCTCTCTAATTCCTCCTTCAGGCCCTGGTACTTCTCCAGCTCCTCATACTCCTTCTTCCTGATGTTGCTGTCACTCGGCACCACTACATCTATCACCGCCGCTGTCTTCTGGTCCTTGTCTACTACCACGATGACTGGTTGATTGGCCAGTACCTGTCTTTCCATCTGGATCTGGAAGTCCCACAGGATCTTAGCCCTGTTATTCTCCACGACCTCTTGTGGAATCTCCCATCTGGACTTGGGAGGGTCTAGCCCATACATTCTGCAGATGTTCCTGTACACAATGCCAGCTACTTGTTTGTGCCATTCAGTGTATGCTGTTTCCTGCCTGCCACTATATGTTGGACTGTCTGAGGCCTTTCTACACAGTCTGCATCTTGGGTCCTGCCTAGTGTGGTAGACCCCTGCTTCTATGGATCTGGTGCTTAGTGCCTGTTCTTGTGCTGCTATGATCAGTGCCTCAGTGCTTTCTTTTAGTCCAGCCCTTCCCAGCCACTGGTAGGATTTCCCAATGTCAGCCAGTTCAGCTATCTGTCGATGGTACATCCTATGCAGGGTCTCGTCTTGCCATGGCACTTCCTCTGCTTGAACTTCCATGTCTGCCGCTGCCTCCGGC